TGAAGTTTTCATTGTAGATTTTTCCTAGAAGTGGAAAAAAAGGCTGAAATAGGCAACCCTTGGAAAGCATAATCATTGGAGCTCCACACTCGCAATCAGAATGTAGAGTTCGAGCCATAGCTCCGGTTGATTATGTGCAAGCCCATCACCACCATAACATAAATTGGAGTCGAGCCGTAGCCATCCTATGCTTGGCACACAAACCGGACCAACGCTACCGATGAGCCGTGTTTTTTTTTAAATATCTAGGAGCGATCGGGGGTCCTATCAACCAATGCTGCCTTCGAAAGAGTCAAGAGCGAGTCTTAACCATTTCGATCACTCACCTTAAAATGGTTCGTTTTAACTCACCAAGAGTCCCTGCATGATTTAGATAGATGCGCGGGAATCCAACAAATTTACTTTCTATTTTTCACAAGGGTATTGCACTGCGCATGTAATGCAGCTTGCGTAAAAACGGAAAAAAAAGGAAAAAAAACTTTTTGCCCCCAGCTAAAAACAAAATTCTCATGATTGCCAATTAAAGCGTGGCTCTTTTCTTTTTTTTAATCGCTTTTATTTATGATCACGAGCTTAACGTGCTTCTATTTTTGGTCAGGACTTGACGTGTTTCAGATGAGATTGTCCCGAATTCTTAAAATGCAAAAAGGACTTTACGTTCGATATCGAGTCGGCTAGTCAAGCTCATTGATTGACTTCCTACAGAGAATGGTACGGTTTTGTCCAGAACGACTCCAGAGACGTCGTTCCGCGTCCATCACCGACGGTAAAGAAAAAAATTACATTAAAAATCTTGAAATTTATCACGAAAGTATAATTAAACCCTTAAACTTTTAAAAAGTACGATCGTGTCCTAAAATTTATCATAAAAATACAATCAACGAAATAACCTAATTTGAACGATTCGATAAGTTTTAGGACATGATTGCACGTCATCAAAGTTTTAAGACTCGATTGTACTTTCGTGATAAGTTTTCAGATTTGATTGGCCTTTTTGAAAGTTTTAAGTTTCAATTGTACTTTTGTGACAAGTTGTGAGACTTTCAATGCAATTATCCAAAATAGAGACAATGAAATTTGGGTCAAATTCTACCGTTTAAGTCTAAATCTTCGCGCGGAATTCCAGCATAGTTCATTCGACCAATCTTCGCCAGAAATCGCCGACATAGTGGTCCTTTTAATTACTCCTTTTGTCACGAAAGTAGCCACGCCCTCTTATTTTCCGATTTACGTGCAAGACCGACATGCATATATATCTTAAAAGAGACCTCTACGACCCAAGGGGGTGATGATAATCACATGCTATGCTCCTAAGACCCCACCCCCATTAGCTAGGAATAACAACCTTGGACTCGAGTGTTTAAAGCTTTACCTCATTATTACATTTGGCGTGGGCCAAAAAAAACTCAAGTAGGATCGAGCCGCATTGACTTATGTAGATAAGATCCTTCTAGTTACCATGTCATTATCACGAGGAAGCATCTTTGGGTGACATTTATAGCGAAGCAAGCCAAATAATTGTGATTCGGGGAGAATTTGCGTTTGAATTCAGAAGTATCTCGGCTTCGACCGACCGACTAATGGCACGGGTACATTCGATGCACGAGATACTTTCTGGGGCACCATTATTAACTTAAAGCGTGTTCGGTTTGATTAGGATAAACTGGTCGTGCGGGATAAGTGTGCATTTTAAATGGGTTGTCGACGAAGCACGATAAATATGGACAAAGTAAGATCTGATCTGTAGCATGCTGCTACGGTTAATTTTGTCAAAATTGACTCACAATTATGAGTGCGCTTTCTATTACTAGACAAAATAGGAAATCGAGCATGGAGACCGAACTAGACCTCTATCCAGTGTCTGACTGCAAGAGTGAGAAATCGCATGTATGTTAAGTTGGTTGAACCGGCTGGTTTGCCCACGGTCCACTTTGAGAGAGAGAGAGAGAGAGAGAGAGAGCTAATTTTTTTTTTTTTGGTCCGTAGAGAATTGAGGGTGCGTTTATTTAACTAAAAATTTCGTGATAAAGGATATAAATCATTTTCATGAAAAATGGTTAGTTTTATTTTGTTTGGTGATTCAAGAGAAGTAATTTCCTTCTTGCCAAAACGGGAAAGTCGTTCTTTCCACCAATCTGAGTTGGTCGTTTTCGATCCACGGATTGCGTTTTCCGTCGTCGATTACCTCTTGGGCTTCCAAACACCAGTAATTTGGAAAACGATTTCGCGAAAATAGTTTTCTCTCTCTCTCTCGGGGTAAGCGGATCCCGAGACGGTGTCCCATTATTGCGGATTAACGCCGAGAACGAGGGGACAATTAATGAGGGCTCACCAGATGCATGTGATGCCCGAAAGTGCAAGTTAGCGTCCACGTTCCCGGCATGAAGCTCCCCCCTTTCGCCTCGCTCCCGCATTTAAAAGAGAGTCCCGCGATGCGAAGCGAATTGGTAAAACGCAATACGTGGTTTGACTTTCTCCTGGGAATCGGAAGCCAATCCTCACTGGCCATTGCCACTCAAATTGCATCCAATCAAATGAATTATTTCGAAGATATTCATCGTGTGGTCCTTTGTCCCCTCCCCCCACTCGTGGTCCCGAACTTCGCTTCTGATTGGCCTTTTGGACTTCAAACATGGTCACCGATCAAGGCCTAAATAATATCTCCTCCAAAAAAATTTAAAAAATTTAGGGTTAATATCGCGACAAAAGCCCAACCTGGTACACCCATGATAAATTTACTCCAAACTAATTTTTTGATCACCAAAAACTCCAAAACGGTGCACCTGTGACAAATTTATCCAAAGCTAATTTTTTAATTACAAAAAACCCAGAATTGGCATATTTGCGATAAATTTACTCTCCGATAATTTCCGTTGAATTGGATTAATACCTCAAAAAATCACAAACTGGTACACTTGTGACAAACGGAGGATAAAACCCGAAATTGGTATATTCGTCAATTGCCGCGTGCCATTTAACAAAGCAATTCAACAGTAAAATTTAACGGAGGGTAAATTTGTCACAGGTGTACCATTTTAGGATTTTTGGTGGTCAAAAAATTAGTTTTGGGTAAATTTATCACGGATGTACTCGTTTGGGGTTTTTCGTAATATTAACCCAAAAATTAAAGAGGGAAAAATTCGAAAGAGACATCGAGTATTCTTGGTATTTTAATTGAGGGTGTTCTTGTACTTTCCGATGTGTAGTTGAATGCCAGTGTAACATATGGTAATACGTGTGAGTTGTGTTATAGAAATATAACATCAGAGAATTGATATGGTGTATAGCAGTTAATATATCTTAGTTGGCCCATAACTAATTATCTTTAAGATTTTACGTGAAGGTTGGTCTAATTAGACATATTGACGAGTTCGGAGGGCTTCATTTTGGCGGACCTTCTGCTAGATGCAGGTATCAAACTTCTGCTATGCGCTCTCAACATACCAGATGTTAGGGAGGAGAAATCCCGCTTCACGGGGGCGTTGCCACTATGATCCCCGCCAAGATGGCCCCCGGGACTCTCGTGCTTTCCTGTCAATAGGGAGTACAAATCACATCCCAAGCAATCAATTTTAGGAAAACGTTCTCAAAATCATTCGTTTTCTGCGGAACAAACGGAGCCTAACGATGAGCTGTTTTCCATCGTGGACAAATCTATATGTATCTCCAATGTACGGAAAGCATATGGAAAGGACTCTATTATTTAAGAAATATTCATGGCATTTATTGTTACTTTGCCATGATTTGCAACTCCGAGAAGAATGGACAGCTTCAACTTCTATCGGGCTTCTTCTCCCCTCCTTCCATTTCCTGGGACCACGATCTACGCGCAGCTGGCCCATCAAGGACCAACTCATCTTTCTCTAGTGACAGACATGAGACAACTGTGCGTGGGCTAAATCCAGCTGACGCAAAGAAAGCCTGTGAAAGAGAAGCTGCGCCCTAAGGATAACTTAGGTAAAGCCGTCCGTGCACTACGAAAGCGATTGGTCTAGGGATAAATGGGCAACCCGTGTTCCGCGAGATCGTGAGTTCGATTCGCGTCAAGTGAACCCTCTGAACGGCTCGTTACGTCGTGTGGACAGACTTCTTAGATGATAGTTTTTTGGTCGGGTAATGTGATGGGCTCGCGAACCTTGGATTACTCGGGTCGCTGGTAGTGCAGAGCAGTGACGACCCGAACCGAATTTTTCATAATGAGCGTGGGATCCCAATTGTAATGTCAGGGTCGCCGGTGCATGTCACCCCCTCCTCACCCTTTTCGCCAAAAAAGATAAAGGTAAGGCATCCGAGCGATGATAAAAATTTCCCTTTTCTTCGGTGGAAAGAGCCCTCGAGTAAATTGTGGTCTCGTAAATAAGCTACTACACTAATTTCACGAGTCAAGCAAAACAAATTTGCCCAAGAAAGGAAATATCAGGGGATGACATAAAAAAAAAATTGAAATTCTGTTTTGTGTCTGCATCATCACAAAACGTGCGCGTTCTTCAAAACACTAAGCCCGCTCTACTGGCACCGGGTTATAACTTTGCACGTCGATTTCAACAGAGGTCCAAAGGGATCGCCCCTAGATTTCGCTGCTTCGATGAATTTAACGACAGATACCGGACCTTGTGCGTGTTTTTTGAGATGTAAAAGTTTCTAACTCGGCATTCACCTACTTACCTGACTCCTTTTCGACTTATGGTGGTTCTCGAAGCCCCGCTCGGATTCGGATCGCGCATCTTCACCGGTGCAAATCTCGTCGGTTCTCATTAGACCCGATCAGGAGCTCGATCCCATTCCGGGTCTGCTAGGCCCAAAGCGCAAGTAGAGGCGTCTCGACATGCTCCACGTCCAAAATCCCGCCCGTTTGATCAGGTCTAGTTCTAAATCCAAACGTGGAGGGGTCCCGCTCTCTTTCTTCCTATTGGGCTATCGAGTATGTGGATCGACCTGGCCTAAATGGGCCGGGCATCTTGGCCCATTTTGGCTCCAAAGCCCAGTAACCAACCTTTTCCTGCAGCACAAGAAAGAAGAAGGAATGCATAAAACCATTCCCAGAGCATTCTCTCTCATCGTTCCTGCTCCTCGCATCGCGCTCGATCGCTTCGCACGGTCTCTCGTCTCCATTTCATCTTTCGCCTCATCGTCGTCTCCAACAAGGTACTATCCTGATCTGTTTGCACGGCGCTGTTTGCGCTGTTATGGTTTCGCAGTTCGTGTCTTCGCCTCGTCGTGCCCAGTAGTTCAGATTCCGAGTGTTTCGCAGTATGCTCGAGATTCGATCATTCGAATGAGAAATTGGTCTTTGCCTGCGGTATAGTTCTCGTTGCTTCAGTAATCTGACGATCAAGCGCGCCGGGTATAGCTCGAATCAGATGGATTTTGTTGGCAAGGGGCGGCTTTCGATCTGTTTGGAGTTTGTGGGAGCTCTCTGAGGAACCTGTGTTTTTGGTGCCATTGTTGAATAGCTTAGTTTACATGCGGTTGGTCTTGTCTGTGGTTATTGAGTTGCCAGGATCTTTCTTGCAGGTTTTTAGCCATGAAGCTCGATACCAGCGGCCTTGAGTCCGCCATGCCCTTTTTCGGGGCGAACAGAGAGCTGGTTGAGGGGTTTTCGGCTGCCCCGTCTTTTGAAATTCCTGGTGTTTGTGATGTGAGTTTCGAGAAGCTGTTCCTTTTTGCTTGGCTGTACGCACCGAATTGATCAGTCGGACAACGAGTTTTTACGTTCGTGTTTGTGTTTTCAGTTCGACGGCTTTCAAAAAGAAGCTTTGCAGATGGTGAAGCCAGCTAAGGGAACGACCACCCTTGCTTTTATTTTTAAAGAGGGTGTTATGGTTGCTGCTGATTCCCGAGCTAGCATGGGAGGCTATATCTGTAAGTTCATTTTTGTTGATTTAGTTATTTCTTTAGGATGTGTGTTATGCTAGTTCACGTGGAGAGAGAGAGAGAGATGCCCATATTACGTACAAATAGATTCACAAGCTCGCATTCCTTTATATTCTGTTGCACATATTACCTGCCTTTGGGTCAGGTAATGAACTGTATATGGTCGTCTTGATCAATGTTCAGTAGTGCATGCCCCGATGAAGTTTGCTGTGATTAACATTATTAAAATCAGCTTTTCATTTCTGTTATTTGCAGCATCTCAGTCAGTGAAGAAGATAATTGAAATAAATCCATACATGCTAGGAACAATGGCTGGAGGAGCTGCTGACTGCCAATTTTGGCACCGAAATCTAGGTATTAAGGTAATCACTTTTCTTCTTGACAGGAAATTATTCGTCTTTTTTTGAAATGATAGCAATACCTTATGAAAGGAACTTAGTGACACTTGAATTACAGATAGTGAGCTAGGAAATACTTTGACATTCCCCTATTGAGTTGCTGCTTTAAGATTCTCAGGATGTATAGCAAGCTTATGATTAAACAAAATAGAACAATATAAATCTTTTTTACTGATAGACTTGACTAAGAAAACCATGAATAAAAGGGAAAAAGTAGCTTACTTTCTTTCTTAGAAATTCTGGATTGCTAATCGTCGCGCATACTGAGATACTTCTTTCTTTTGGAAGGTTGCGTGTTGTGTTTTGAGAAATGGGGAATTAGAAGTTGTAGGTTTGCTTGTAATATATGTCCTAGACGCCACAACTTGTGTTAAACAATATTTCTTTCTGCAGGTGGAATTAGTCAATGAATTGTATGCATAAGTTTGCGGTTTCTCTATGTCCCGTCGCAGTTATTATGAACAACTGTTGTGGAAGAGGGTTACTATAGTTTGTAAAGAAATATGTGTACTATAATCCATCTCCACAGTGTCTGACCTTCTTGATGCTGAACTTTACATGCTTTTAACATTGTGATGCATTGTTGAAAATGTGCTTTATCTGAATAGTGTCGGCTCCATGAATTGGCAAACAAACGGAGGATCTCAGTCACAGGGGCTTCAAAGCTCCTTGCAAACATTCTCTATTCATATCGTGGAATGGGTCTATCGGTTGGGACGATGATCGCTGGCTGGGATGAGACGGTATTGGCATGTCAATTCACAAAAATACATAGGCTTTTTGTTCGTATCTTTCAATATATTGCTTCTACTCATCGCAGGGCCCAGGTCTATATTATGTGGACAGTGAGGGAGGAAGATTGAAAGGGACTCGGTTCTCAGTTGGATCTGGGTCACCATATGCATATGGGGTTTTGGATAGCGGGTATGTTGCTTCTTAGTAGTTTTATGCTGTAGGTTGTCAATTACATTGGACTAATTTGCATTTCAAAAAATGGATGCACAAACTTCTGCTGGATGCATTTGTTACTTAGAAATCCTTCTGGTTACTGTATTCCTTATATATGCAGAAGAGGCAGCATATTCACCTAATTATCGGCGGTGAGAACAATAATTGCTTAGTTTAAATTATAGAGAAAGAGCCAAAAGCTAGTGGGAAGTGTGGCGGGGTTGAATACTGTGTTGAAGCTCTGTCTACCCGCTCCAAATGAAAGAGCAAGAATAAGAACTCTCCGTCTTCTTTTTGCGCTAGTCGTACAGCTTGCTTTTACCTTGCATCTGTATTTACTACGTACAGTAAGAAACTAAGTCGGTTTTTGTTGTATGGGGAGTGGAGAAGTCCTTTGACTATTGATGGTGGTCAAAGTTTGGATCGTGAGTATATAACTTGCAATTGGTCATTTTTGAGGATATTGATGTAATACCAATACGTGCAAATAGTCTACCCTTTAAACTGAGATCTATTCGGAGGTCCACACCAGCAGAGGTCATTCCTGACAATGCAAATATGCAATATGGACACTCTTGGCTCGGGATGGTTCAACCTACATGCACTTAAGCTTCTTGTTAGCATGTATACCGATGATTGAGTAGCTGCCCCATAGTGGCATTAGCTTTTATTTGTAATATCACCAACCCAGTCGAAGTCTGAAGTTTCTTCAAGTTTTTATTTATTTTCTATTTTAAAAATTTTCCCATAGTATTATACTGGTATCCTTTTTTCTACCATGGTCAATCTGATGATTTTCCTGCCCTTGCATTTGCTAGCTATCATTATGACATGTCAGTTGAAGAAGCTGCAGAATTGGCTAGAAGAGCCATTTACCATGCAACTTTTCGTGATGGAGCCAGTGGTGGAGTTGCAAGCGGTACTCTCTCTCTCTCTCTCACATGCACTCATGCACAGAGCGCACCCCCATGTGGGAATTTTCTTCAATATTTGTCCATGCTCACATGCTGTGCTTATTTGGTTCGATAGGAATGAATAACATGAGCCTTTTTTTTTCTTCCATTCAGTCTATCATGTGGGGCCAACTGGATGGAAGAAGCTATCTGGTGATGATGTCGGGGAACTTCACTACAGCTACTACCCTGTCGTGCCTAGCACGGTGGAACAGGAAATGGCTGAAGTCACAGTGGCGCCATGAAAGGATCTCTTCTTCAACTGAATGCTTTTGAGTGGGTTCTTTTGTGTTCCCATCTGCCAGGGGAGACGGCTATCTTCACGTGCTTATGTATCTTGATCTTTTTTAGCTGGGGATTGATGATCAGAACAGCCCTTGATGAACTTGAAATGAACTAAAATTAGAAGAGAATCTACTGAATAGTCATTGCCTCGTTTATCCTAGTCAACTTTACATGGCAACTTATCATAATGGGGCACTGCTTTCGGCCATTAAAAACGTCAGTCCTTGCAGAATACTTGAAATAGGACTTGATGCCGTGCCTGTGGTGGCTCTTTGATGTTGAGATACCTGGAAACCTGAAACTGGACGTGGCAAATTGGTCAGGAACATTTTTCATCAGTAATCTCTCTCTGTCTCTGGGCAGCTTTCAGATCTGGGTCAACAAGGAGTGACTTTGAGTTGCTTTGAAGGCTTTCGGACCCCGCGGTGCCTTTTGGGTTATTATTGTCTACCTTCTTTTTCTTTACGACAAATGTCGAGAGTGACGTCTTGAACCCCATCTTACCATCGGTGGTATGTGGGATGACATCTGCACAATTAGGGGTCAGTTCTCTATCTATTTCTTTTTACCCCAGTTGGAAAGAGCCAGGCATTTGATTTGTACTGCGTTAGGTACGTCTCTTCAGAGCAAAGCAAACGATTGTTTCTTGCTTTCGAATCCTTGTGAAAATTCCCACGTTCTTGTGAGAATTCACTTCCAGTCCACTTTTAGGGACCAAGAACGCTGGACAGACATCATGGAAAAAATGACATTTTCCTAAGATGAACTCTTTTGTAGGAAAAGAATTGGAAAACAGGGTAAATTTTAGTATCTTTTCGGATTCCGCCAGAAAACAAATTCGTTATCAGACATGAATATGGGAAAACAAAAGGAAGTGGGTTCCTAGAGGGGGACCAGATCTAACTAGCATCAGCTTCTGACATGCAATTACATAGAGTCCCAACAAATGAAATTTAGGGGGGGGGGGGGGCACGTGCTATTCTTCTAGTTCCATGCACTTGCTGCTACTTCTATTATCTCATTGGAAAGACAGTGAGAAATATGAAACTGATAGCAGTCAAGTCAGTTCAGTACACATCTCAAGTCTCGAGTCTCAACTGCTCCAGAACAGGACAAGAGGAGAGACACAAATATGATATTGGCTCTAGCTGGACAGAACATGCCCCGCTTTTCTCTCTCTCTCTCTCTCTCTCTCTCTCTGGTTTGTGCGTAGATTTGTTAGCTTCTAAGCATGTTTTCATGATTGGGAGTGAGATGCAATCATTACGGACATTTTCGCTGGGCAAATTACGATAATGGCGACCCACTGTTTGATGAACTGCCAGTCGTGGAAAGATGAGGAGAAGGGTCGTCCCTTTTTGTGGAAAAAGCTCGTGTTGGGAGGGCATTCAAGATGCAGAAAGAAGGGGAAGAAGAAAAAAAGAGAAGAGTGGGATGAAAAATCATGAAACATGAGTGCTGTCGAGGGTAGAGAGAATGATGTCGCCAGCTTGTGGAGTAATTAAGCCTACTACGAGCCAAAAAGGATTGATACCTAAATGGGGAATTCCCCGCCTATTGGTACACTCATGTTCACTCATTGGTCTAGCGATACCTGATGTTGCGGTTTTCCATTCCAAAAGGAAACTCCACCATCCCATTGATGGCATCAAGAGTGCTCCACCAAAGTCGACCCAATCAAAGTCCAATTTTGCATCTGTATTTTGGGTAATCAGCATGAAATAACTACATACGGGTCCATCGGTCATCAGGAATATCGACCAAAGAATATACGGTATGCTCGACAGTGAGGGAGGCGGGCGGTAACCACCGGCCCCTCAGTCCGTCCCCGGATATGAGCGGGCTGTCTTCTAACTAACAAATTAGGTCCGCACGTACTCCCGAAGTTTCGAAACGTTGGCGTGCATGCCGCTCAGAAATGGTAACTGACGAGGATGAGATTCATGAGAATTTGCTGCTGCTTCTTTCTTACCCATTACGCAGGTGCTGTCACAGAGCACGACGGACTAAGTTTCGGACGCAAACACGACAGTGGAAATTTCGTTGTGTTGTCCGGAAATTGCCACGTTCACTGTTCCCGAGGAAGGAACTGTGAATTCAAGGAATGAATTGATTTCCTCCTTCGTCGTCATCCCTCGCATCAATCCGGAAGCTTCTTGTAGCAGACATTTATTTCAGCCCAGGGACGGCAGACTGAACATATACATAACTGCATTTTCATAAATAACCGCAACATGGCCAAATGCCAGTCGCAACTATAGCAATCCACATTGGTAGTCGAATGGCGCAAATTAAATCGCGCAAAAGCGTAACTTACGAAAATAATTGTGTATTTGGCACCAAAGGACCTAACAAAGTCTGCTGTTTAGAATCCGATAAATTAACAAAAAGAGAGAAATTCAAGTGCAACGAAGTTTCTGTACCGTAGTCTAGTCGTAGCAGAACAAGTTAAAAAAACGAAAGGCCCTGCACTGTTCTTACCATGTGGGGGGCAAAGCGAAGAGGACAAAATCGTCATCCAAGATTTTCAGGAAGAAGACAAAGAAAATGATACCACGAGACAACACAATTTGACATCAACATCATATGGCAAGGGTCGATTTAGTATCTTGTCACGTGAAGGATTACTAATGGTAAGTATTTTGTCGTCGAAGAGCGATTTCCGACCCGAGCTAGTTTCCACGTGATTTGTTCAAGGCGTTCGGAGAGCCAGATCAACTGAGACCAGAGCGAAGAGCTTGCTCTTCAAAGCTAACGCTCTTGGTCGAGTGTTTTCTATGGATTTCCAAAGCATGCTTCCACGATTTTGCGCGAGGTGATCGGTGCATGTATCTCGAACCTTTTTTATCGATCTGCCCAAGGATACGTACGGATTGCTCAATTACCAATGCATTGGCTAAGACTTCACTTACCGTCTGGCTGGTACAGCTCTCAAGGATACTCATCGAACTTAAGTTGCTTAACCATTCCGTAAAACCCCTTACGAGCTTTGTCGAGTTTAATCTCACATTGCATTAAATACGCGGTTATAACGTGCCTTATCTTACAGGTAATCTTCTTTCACCTAATGATCCGAGTTTTATGCTCAAGCCCCAGTCCTAATGTCAACTATTTTCTTCACACTCGCCTCGAACAATCTCTTTCCCCCCGATACTAAGAGATAAAAAAAGAAAAGAAAAAACGAAAGCGTATCGCGTCTCGCAACACCGTATACGAAGTTATTTGTATACAAATACACACATTCGGATTTTTGATTTGCGTCTTATATATATATATATAAATAAGATGGAGCTAAAAAGAGGAACCAAAGGCACACTTTGAGATGAGATGGGTTGCTTTTCTTCTACTCACCCCCTATCTATCTATCCAGTTAGCCAAACTCCACTCTCTCTCTCTCTCTCTCTCTCTGCGTGGACTCGTGGGTCCCACTTTAATGAATCTCTCGTCCTTCTCAAGTCCCTCTCTTTCTCATAAACACTCCCCGCCCCAAGTCCCAACCAACTCCTCCTCCCTCCTCCCTCCTCCTACTTCTCCCCACCTCCCTCCACTCCTCCTCCTCTGCAACTCCAATAAAACCATCTCCTCCATTCTCTCCCACTCCCGCCCAGCGCTAATCCCACAGCACCCTGAATTCAACCACCGTAACAACCCTCTCTCTCTCTCTCTCTCAATAACGGCCTCCCTCTCCCCCTCTCTCTCTATAACGGCAATCCACGCCCCCCCACGATGAGCCGCGTCCTGTCGTGGTGGAGCCTGATCACCCTCCTCCTCCTCCTCGCCTCCGACCTCGCCCTCTCCCTCAACCCCGACGGCCTCTCCCTCCTCTCCCTCAAGTCCGCCGTCGACCAAGGCTCCTCCTCCTCCTCCGCCTTCGCCGACTGGAACGAGGACGACCCCACTCCCTGCCGCTGGACCGGCGTCTCCTGCGCCAACGCCTCCGCCGACCCCTCCGACAACCCCCGTGTCGTCGGCCTCGCCCTCTCCGGCAAGAACCTCCGCGGCTACATCCCCTCCGAGCTCGGCACCCTCCTCTACCTCCGCCGCCTCAACCTCCACAACAACGACCTCTCCGGCCCCATCCCCGACCCGCTCTTCAACGCCACCTCCCTGCACAGCATCTTCCTCTACGGCAACAACCTGTCCGGCCCCCTCCCGCCGTCCATCTGCGACCTCCCCAGGCTCCAGAACCTCGACCTCTCCAACAACTCCCTCTCCGGGGCCCTGCCCGATGGGCTCCGGAGCTGCAAGCAGCTGCAGCGGCTGATCCTCGCCGACAACCGGTTCTCCGGCGAAATCCCGGCGGCGATCTGGCCGGCGCTGGAGAACCTGGTGCAGCTCGACCTGTCCTCCAACGAGTTCGCCGGGCCGATCCCGGCCGAAATCGGCGAGCTCAAGTCCCTCTCCGGCACGCTCAACCTCTCGCACAACCACCTCTCCGGCGACATCCCGAAGGCCCTCGGGAACTTGCCAGTGACGGTGAGCTTCGACTTGAAGAGCAACAACCTGAGCGGCGAGATCCCCCAGACGGGCTCGTTCGCGAGCCAGGGGCCGACGGCATTCCTCGCGAACCCCCAGCTCTGCGGGTTCCCGCTCCAGAAGCCCTGCAACAGCCCGGCCCAATCGGCTTCGCCATCGTCGGGCACGAATAATAATTCGCAAGCGACGGACTCGGGCTCCAGGAAGGGCCTCAGCCCGGGGCTGATCACACTAATCTCGGTCGCCGACGCCGCCGGGGTCGCGCTCCTCGGCCTCGTCGTCGTCTACATCTACTGGAAAAAGAAGGACACCAACTCCTGCAGCTGCACGGGGAAAACCAAATTGGGCGGCGGGGGCAGCGGTGGAGGCGGATGCTGCCGGGCCGACGCCCGCAATTGCGTCTTCCCCTGCCTCGGGGGCTCGGCCCGCCACGAGGACTCCGAGATGGAGGACGCGGAGAAGTCGGAGCGGAGCACCGGCGGCGGCGGCGGCGGCGACGGCAACGGCAAAGGGGGAGAAGGGGACCTGGTGGCGATAGACCGGGGGTTCACGTTCGAGCTGGACGAGCTGCTGAGGGCGTCGGCGTACGTGCTGGGGAAGAGCGGGCTAGGGATCGTGTACAAGGTGGTGCTGGGGAACGGGGTGCCGGTGGCGGTGCGGCGGCTCGGCGAGGGCGGGGAGCAGAGGTACAAGGAGTTCGTGGCGGAGGTGCAGGCGATCGGGAGGGTGAAGCACCCCAACGTGGTGAGGCTGAGGGCCTACTACTGGGCCCCCGACGAGAAGCTCCTCATCAGCGACTTCATCTCCAATGGCAACCTCGCCTCCGCTCTACGAAGTAAGTCAATCTTTGCCTCTCCCGATTCTAGTTCTTTAGCTGAAACGAAATACCTAAAAAAACGACTTCACAATAAAAACTGAAAAAACAAATCGGAACTTTAAAATAAAAATCGTGCCAAACTACATCGTAACCCATTCGGTGCGTTTCCTTAATTAAGTAAATTCGTTGGGTCGGATTGAGTCGAGTCGAATTGACAGAGCGAGAGTGAGGGTACGCAGAGTTGGGACCAGTGGTTCCGCTCCTAGTGGGTTTGGTTCGACTGTAATTTAGCCAGCCATGAGCAAAATGGTCCAATTGACCGGATTTCCAATAAGCTGATTCGGATCGATCGCAATTATCGATGACAATTATCGATGATGGCGGACATGATATAAGTCCGCGAAATGTCGTGTGTCCGGCCTAGACACCGCAAATGTACTGTTCGGTCCGTGAACTTCCCTGGTTGCACCAGAAGGACACGCCCATCTCAGCAAAAAATTTTGGTTTTTCTTTTCGACAAGTTGCCAGAAAGTGGACACACCCATAGTTATACCACGTTAGACATCGCGAGTGAGATCTTTGTCTAACTCTGTTGGGGCTCAAACGGACATGCGGATGCTCCGCTCTGTTTCGGCGAGTGGATGTCGCGCATTTCGATACTTCTTATCACAGCCATTTTAAAATAAAATTCCCTTCATCCTGTTCGAGAAATGTCAGTCATACACATGGTCGTTGACTGGCCGACGTGAATTCTAATCGCGGTCGTAATGCGTTGGCATCTGGTAAAACAACCGGACAAGAGGGAGAGGAATCTGATCGATCGAATCGAATGAATGCTCGAGTTTTCTGGGTCTTTTGACTTTTGGAGTGTGCTAGTGTAATAGACCAAGGGGGTCACTATAGTTTGTACTGGGAGGGAGGAGGGTGTTGGGGTAGCTAAGATCCAAGGTGATGGTAGGGACTCGCCTACCAAGGACAAGCTGCAGGACGCATGATGGTGTGCAATGATGCCAAAGCCTTTCGCATTTCTAGAGTTCAATCATGGCCCGCGTGGTAGGTCATGATGGTACAACTCCAAAGTTAATGTACGGATTTACATAATTACTCTAACCCCAAGTATATCATTGCGAAAATAATAAAGAAAATAGGTGAGCTACGTAGTATATTCTGCAGGCAAAAAAAGATTTGATATGTTCTATACGGTGTTATTTTTTCATCATTGACGTTCACCAATCATTTCTCATTCGATAGTTGGTTCGCTTGGTTGTGGATCTTAGTTCTTCGAAAGTGGAAGCATTTTCTGTCCCTAGAAGGACATCATGGTAGACCCTTTTGCTTTGAATTTAAGGTTAAGTTATCAAAGGGGTTGGTTGAATGCACCCTTTTGATATCTTCTCGTTAGCATTAAAGAACGGCAGTTTGGCACCAAAGAAATGAACAGCACAACAACAAAAGGGGAATTTGATCTTCGGATGGAAGAAACACTTTCTTCCTTTCGAAGTGCGTTAGGCAATTATAGAGGACTCTCGCTTTTCTTTTTTTCGTTTCCTTTTTCGTTTTTTACTTCCGTCCATAGCTTTGAAGTTGGTCATCGCGTAATGTTGCGTGAGCTCATCACGGTTTGGACTGAGTGGCTAAAGAATTTTGATGGAGTTCTTACAAATGAACAGTGAATAACGCTATCTGATTCTATATCCAGAGAAATGTACTTAGCCAAATTGGCATTCTCTGCCTGCATTCTTGTTCTCACTTGTTTTCTCTTAAATTAACAAACTTCCCCTATTCTTCAGTCTAATAATGAAATTCATGCACTGCCAAAATCTTGTTGCTATCCAGTATACTAGCTGAATTAGGAACTCCACTGAGGCTGATATAATTGATGATTTCTCAGGCAAAAGCGGCCAGCCTTCGTCGAGCCTTTCATGGTCAACCAGGCTGCGAATCGCCAAAGGGACAGCCCGAGGATTGGCCTACCTCCACGAATGCAGCCCTAGGAAATTCGTGCACGGGGACGTCAAGCCATCCAACATCCTCCTCGACTCCGAATTCCAACCCCACATCTCCGATTTCGGCCTCAACAGGCTCATCTCCATCACCGGTAACAACCCGTCATCCGGGGGCTTCATCGGCGGGGCCCTGCCTTACCTCAAGTCAGTCCAGCCAGAGAAGACCAACAACTACCGCGCCCCGGAGGCCCGCGTCCCCGGCAGCAGGCCGACACAGAAGTGGGACATCTACTCCTTCGGGGTGGTCTTGCTCGAGCTGCTCACAGGGAAGTCCCCGGAGCTGTCTCCTACCACGTCGACTTCCATCGAAGTGCCAGACATCGTGAGATGGGTCAGGAAGGGGTTCGAGGAGGAGGTCCCGTTATCGGACATGGTCGATCCGATGTTGCTTCAAGAGGTGCACGCCAAGAAGGAGGTGCTAGCCGCATTTCACGTGGCCCTGGCTTGCACGGAGGGCGACCCCGAGGTCCGGCCCCGGATGAAGACTGTCTCGGAAAATCTCGAGAGGATCGGTACATAAGAATGCGCCTGGCTTCAAGCTTACTTGCCATGTAAAGATGGGTCGAGAGTTCTTTGATTAGCCACGAATTGCTTCGATGGTGGATTAAGCAACAGCACCGGTCCTACGATATGGAGGATCATATCTACAGCCGTTCATGTTCTTCCAGTTATTCTCCGAAGAGGTTAAGGCCATGATTTATCTCAAGTCCGGCAATTTTTTCCTTAGCACAGAAATTTGGAGTATAATGCATGAGATTATACATTATTATTATTATTTTTTTGTGGGTTAGAAGAGAAATAGCTTTATTTTTTATTATTATTTAGATTGTAACCCTGTTACAGTTTTGGTTGAGCCTGCAATAAAAAATATTGCTTCACTTATTATAGTCACTGCATCATGAGCTGGTGGTCAGTTAGAATGATCATCTTCAGGCCTGTGAACTACTACAATAGTACAATCAAGGAAAGTTCTTCAATTGGGTGGATTGGGTTTCGCTTTTGGGGACACCGTTTGTTCGTGAAATCATTTTCAAGCATCATAATACAGTGCAGTTGAAAAACACAAGCTTTTATACTTTCCTGGTGTTTGGGTGCATCTACAAGAAGTTTTCTTCGAAAATGTTCGAAAGCGACCAATGCCAACTTCTTTGCGACAAGCTAAATGGCGGTTTGCGACCATGACAGCATTTTGCTTGTGGGTATCGGTAATGGGCCGAGCATCGAAGATATCATACGGTCGCGAGTTCTTCCCGAGCGGGCCTATCCGTGGGCCGGTACACATAGAAGCACGCTATGCGAAAACGAAATCGACTCTTTCGTACCAGCTCCCGTTGCTTTGGAAGACGCAGCCTCTTTCTCTCTCTCTCTCGCATGATCTCTCTGCATTGCGCCTCTCACTCTCAGCAATTGCCTAGAAATTGCATTGGACAAAAATTCCCATTTACCTAATACTCATTCTGCCTCTCAATAATATTGTTAAACCCAGTTATTTGTAAAAGGAAGAATTAATAACACAACTACATCCGTTAATTCAAGTATAATTCCATAGCGAACAATGAATTAGACCCTCATAAGAAAAGGGAACGGTGATAGGCCCAGTTCTACAAAAAGCCCATCAAGCCCCGGTCGGAAAATCCCCCCGTCTCTCTTCCATCGCACTTCCGTTTTATTCTCTCAACTCTTCCGTTATCGACCCTTTCTCTCTCTCTCTCTCTCTCTCGCTCGATCTCTACTGACGCATTACCCCAGAATCGCGGTCGCCTGATCGCCGTCTGGTGCGCCCGCCGCCCGCCGCCGGTATCCGCGCGTCGCTCCCAAAATCTGCAGCACCTGGTGTTGTTGCATCTGCGAGCATCTGTCTTCCCTTCGTATTTCCCTCTCCGCCTCTCTCTCGTCGCGTCGTTCCAGCTGCGTCAGTTCTGGTTCAGGTTTCTGAGCAGGGAGCGATTCAGTTTTCGCGATCGAGTGCCCTAGGCATCTGGTGCGTCGGTCATATATTTTCAAGTTGAGATGGAGGTACGTGATGCTTAACCGCTTAAAAGCACAGTTGATTTCATTATCTCCGTGAATTGTGTTGATCCTACGATTCGAGAAGTCCTCAGTTTGTGATGTTTGGATGCGTTCGTGTAGGATAAGGTTACATTGGAACCGGAGAAGAGCGGTGCTGCCGGATTATATGTTCCTGGGAAGGAGAGAGTAGTCTTTAGGCCTTCTGAAAGGAAATCGTTGTTAGGTAAGATAAGTTTTTTGGAAATTTTTTAAGAATTAGTAACTATTGCTCACTATCATGAGCTGATATCTTACTGTGAATACTAATTATTACCCGGTCTATCATAACTGAACTAAACTTTTTATGTGTGTGTTGTATGGGGCAATCTATACTGCTGAGACAGTATTACTCATGACTGCTATTGGTGAATGATTTTGAAATTCAGTCAAGTATTCTGGACATGTCCTAAGAGGTAGTTATTAAACATTTGTTTGGGAGACTCAATGTAACTGAGTAAGAACTGTGGTTAAAGTATGTGTTTTTAGGAAGGAAAGGACAAAGGATTTTGTTGCTTGCAAAGCCAGAGCTTGTCTTGCAAAAACAAAATGTACTCTGCTTGGTCATCCCCATTACATGTGAAGCTAAGCTGCTACTGATTATGAAGGGCTAATTCGATGTTTCCTTAGGTGTGTCTATGTGATTCTTGATGTGATTCTCTAGAGGAAGCTACCTAGATTGAAGAGTTTGTTCAGCAATGTCATTTTTACTTGTGTTTATTTTGATAATTAAAATTATGTTTTGGTGGTTTGTCTCCTTCATTTCGCGTGGCTATGGCATTTTTTGCCCTGTCCTGTCTATCAATGTTCACCAGCTTTAAATGTCTATAGTACTTGTGAAGTCACCATACAACTTCATGTATGGATAGGGTTGGATGTTCTTGCAATTGCAAAGCGGGGAGGATCTAAGGTTGATGATGGATTTAAGGTTCCTAAAGAAAGAGTTACTTCTGTTGTTTCATCTATTGATGAGGAAGAGAAATCTGAATTCTCAAGATTAGATGAAGAAGAAAGTGACATGGTTAATGGTGCTCGCAATACTAATCGGAGGTATCGTGAGACAACTGCAAGCAAAAATTCTGATCCAGGTTTGCACATCCTAAATGGTTTTTATATGCATTTATTTTAGTTGAATTAGTAGTTGCAACTAGGTTAGAAAATTATTAATCAGTCTGTTTCAATGATAAGCTTGCCCTTCTATTGTTTCTCATATGTTGGGAGGCCATTGATTTGACGTGGACGAGAGCTTCAGTTAGTCAACCAGATCTCTAAATAATATAAAATATATGCTTTCAATCTCAGAACAGGAATTGACTTTGCCAGATGGAGTAACATGCGTTAATGTTAGGCTATCTGTTGGAAGTTTGAAAATAAGTTTTTTACAATTTGGTTGAGCATCGATTACGTTCTGTTTGCTGTTTTGGGTCAACAATCAGGCAAAAAAGAGCCCTTGCTGTGTAGGGGTATTCCCAGTGCCGTGGAGAAGAGGACTTCCAATCTTTGAACCTCTTCGCAGTGTCTGGTTGGAAGTGGGATATAGATGCCCTATTTGCAAAATAATAACTAATGTAGGAATGAAGATATTTATAAGCTGGTATATTTTTGGTGCTGCATGCTTTGGTCCCTTTTATTTTATCTTGGAAAAGGAAAAGCAGCAGATAGCCGAAATAGCTATCTTTGAGGTGTATATGGTGGGTGAAATTAATTACGGGTAATCACTTGTAGAAGTAAGTTGATCTCAAACAATCATCGAAGCTAGTCTATAGTGGTTAAACAGGTTGGAATCAATGGATTTGATGTGCCCATAGTCTCGTTAGCCTTACGCCATTGGTTGTGGATTTGTTCAATAATTCTTAGAAATGTTGGTACTGGAAATAGCTTTGATTTTTGTAGGCTATCTTTTGGGATGTAAACTATCAAATAGCTCCTGTGCCGTTGGCGTAAAAGTCGTTAAAAGGTTATTTCGCCAGTTCAAAGAAGTTTTGTGTGATCATCTTCTTCTTCTTTTCTTCGAGCAGAAGGTACTATCTCTGGGGCAAAAAGTGAGACCTCTACACCCAGAAATCGTCGCCCAAGTGATTCAATACGTTCAGAAGTGAGTGTTCTCCTTTCTAATATTTCTTTGCTATATACTGATTGGCTGCTGCAAGTAGCTTCTTGCAAATTGGACGATTGGTGCATATGCCTATTCATTAGATTTGCTGCCTTTGCTAGTCAAAACACCGTTCTCATATCTTCTTGAAGATATTAGCAAATTGAGGGTTACATAATCATGTGTTTTTGATCTAGTTTTCTCGGTGTGCCTCGTTGCATAAGCCTCTTTGATCATTGAAATTGAAATTATGTATGTTTTTCCTCAATGGAATCTTTTAAATAACAAGTGACATTCTTTTCTTTATTAGATGTTTTATCAATGCTTCTAATACATGAAATATTGTTTGAGACAACTTATTTAGTTAAGGAATTTATGAGCAAGGTTTAAGCTTCTTAGGACTTTACTTGTCATGTCCTCTATTTATAGTTTGTATTTGGCTTGATGTTTCTGGCAAAAACAGTTGGCTTTTAGTTTAAATTGCTTAACTTTATCATATATGCAATTCTTAACTGCTCTTTTCATCCTCCTTGTATCTCTATCTTTTTATCTAGTTTAATTTTACAAAAGAAAATTTAGCTTCATTTTTTCCTTCTCATCTCATTAATGATATTATAAAGTTGACCTGGCATTTTGTTCTTCTTGAGAGTTAGGAAATGCTTCGTGCTTGTTCTTTTGTAAGGTCCTCTTATCAGGGAAGTGCATTAACAGGAGGATACAACTCTAAGTTATTGTTAACATAAAGACAATCTTTCGGCAATTGCAATTGGAATTTTAAGTAGGGGCAGTTTCTAGGAAACGTGGAAGTTGGGAGGAAGCATAGTGTGGAAGATGTAGCTATGATTTCTGTTCTCTGTACTTTATAGTTCAGAATTCAGCTCTTTCATATTACTAGTTTGAGGGCCTTTCAATTTATGATAAGTGAAAACTTAAAACTACGGCAGAATATACTAATTTATAAAATTTTATGAAAATATTAAGATCTTAATTTCTTGAATGCAATGTTTCGTTGTAGCTAAGTTATATAAAATACTTTAGACATGTAATATTCAAGTGTTTTGGAAAATTAGTCAGACAAAACATAAAAACACTAATGTGGATAATCAAGAGAATTGGCATGTGTGGTTATCATGGACATCTAAACAAAGAATCTGGCCAAACACATTTATGTACTAATAGGGCATTGCGTGAGTTTGAAATTTACTTATTTGGTAAAGTTGTTTCTTATTAAGAAAGAAAGCTGAAACTTTATTTTCATCATTTCTTAGTCCGTAATGACATATGATCTGGACATTATTTAAATTTAGATATTTCATTTTTTCTTCGTTTTTCATTTTACTAACATTTAGTGTTTGAACTTTTATTCATTGCGAAACACATGATACCATTGACAACGTAGACACAAGACATTTGAATAATATCTAAATATCCTAGTAATTTTTAAAGTTGAACGATACTACTTTTAAAACTTGAGATCTCTCTTTTGACAACATCAACTATTTGAGTGCCACACTCTCCGCATCGATTCACCACAACCTCTTAGTTTATCTATTTAGAAAACAAACTTGAGGGGCTGGAGAGATAAGGGGACCAACTGCATTGTTTGAATGTTGCTTGTTTTCTGTTGGTTCTGACATTTTGTGATTCTGAGTTGATATCTGCAAATCTGAACATTCACTAAAATTCCGCTTGCTTCATTTTGGTGTAAGGTTTCAACTCTCACCTCTCAGAGTAGTAGGGGGAGTCCGC